ATAGATAGATAGATAGATAGATAGATAGATAGATAGATAGATAGATAGATAGATAGATAGATAGATAGATAGATAGATAGATAGATAACAATTTTATTTGGAGGTAGCCAATCTGTTCACAGAATTTCAAGGAAAAAACTATGTTTAGTCTGTACAGAGACGCTGTCAGCCATGAAATAAAAATATAAATATATTGTTTTTGTAGGCCGGACGGAAGTCCCTCCTGAGCTGGATGTGGCTCGCGGGCCACCAGTGTCCCATCCCTGATCTGGAAGAGTAATCTGATATACATGTCCTCAGTGTTGTTGCTGGAGACATAGAGCTACTCTTTATTTTTTCAAACATAACATAGAAACATGTGATGTAGGGAAGATCTGCACGAGTCTTACAAGCTTTCCAGGCACTTATCTTTTTTTTCTGAGTTCAGAGAGTTTAGTTAAGTGCACAGAGAGACTCTTGCAGTGTCTAAAGTATTTCCCCATACGTCTTTGACCTATTTAAGAGTACATTTTTGTGGGGAGGGAAAGTGGATTCAAATTGCCGTCTGCTTTGGGGGAAGTCTTAACTGCAGTGCATTGGAACGGTTTTCTTCACGGTTTGTTCCGCAGCAGGGAAAACTCTGTGCGGTCGTTAGTCATGTTTCACACCACGGCTCCTATTTCTGTCCATAAGCGAAGAGAAACAATCAGTGTGTTTGAGAATGAAATGGAAGTTGAAGCCTAAAAGTAAAGCCGATTTCCTGTTTAGGGTAAACAAGGAGGAGGTTAAGAGAAACAAAAGAACCACACCAGTAACGCTGACCTGTAAACACATGGCGTCCCCAGAGTCCCGAGCTATTTGCTTTAATTTATCATCGTATATTGCGAGACAGAAACTGCTCCTGCCAAATTCGTGCACGGGGACTGCCAAGTGTTTCACACGAGAAAAGTTTGCTGGAACTCTTGAGTGTGTTGAAGAATGTACGTGGAACGAATTAAAGCTGTGATGGCCGTCTTAGTGAAATACACCTTTGCCCCACATTTACCGAAACTGCATAGGATCCACGTCCAACATTCATGCCGTTGTGATTTGACTCACGCAACAAAAGTCACTTCAGTTAAAGCTTCCAGTAAGGAAAGCGTGGGTGATTACTTTGAAAAGCTATCTTAAGAGTAAATTCACTCATTGTGACTCATATTTAGTGTTTAGTTACAATCAAAGTAAGGGAGGTGGATTATTGACTCAAATTTCTGCTGTTGGCAAGTTTGGAATCTCCACAAAAGCCYAATTGGACACACTTTTGGGAAGCGCAGACCTTTTCTCCTTTACTGCACAACTCTGCATGCCAGAAATGCTTGAGAGGAAATAAAAAAAAAAGAAGGCAGATGGTTGGAGAGGGAAAAAGAGAGAGAGAGAAGACAAAAAAGAGGAAATTAATGGTAAACTTGTGGCTGAGTTAGAAACAGAAGAGCAGGAAAGCCACAGAGGATATAAGTGGCAGAAGAAAGAAAAGTAAAAAGCCTATGGAAGCTGAAGCACAACAAAGAAATTCCTCAGAAACAAAGAGTGGATCTGGACTGTGTCAAAGTACAGTTTTCAAACTGAGCTGCACTTTTTCAACAYGCTGATTTAGGAAGAGAGTACATCCAGTATGTACATGTACATATTTTTGCCCCCGTTTGACTTACTGCTCATTAATAGTTTTAAGTCCTCCCTCTGACCTTCATGGCAGATTGTTTCAGACACAGCAGTAACAATTCATAGTAAGCGGACCGATGCATTTTAAAATTTTAACTCGTTTTACCTTTTTTTAACAGTTCAGTCTTGTAACATCAGGTGTATGAATGGAGGCAGCTGCCAAGAGGACACCTGCACCTGTTCGAAGGGATACACAGGCAGTCACTGCGGACAACGTGAGTACCTCCTGCAGAGTGCATATATACTGTAAATAAGTGRAGGATTGTTTGCATCGTGTCTGACATTTGAGAAACTTGAATCCTAAACTTTAAACGAAGGAAATGACTTRGGCAGAGAATATTTTCAGACTAGCTTTTTCCTAATCTAATCTGATTTCAGCAGAACGGACTCAAATCTACATGGAGTAAAACAAAAGGTCACATTGTCATTGATTAGCTTATTTTCTGAGTGTAAAATCTTAGTTTAAACCAGAGGTGCCCAAAGTGGGGCCCGCGGGT